TTCTACTACTTGACGCAGTATTTAGAGCAGCAGAATTTAAATCGGAGTCACTGGAGGAGGAAAGCGAGGGAGGAAAAGTGTTTTCTGGCTGTTGTAGCAGCTTGGTGTTCTTTGATGAAGCCGCCCACTCTGACCTGAGCCAGAAACTCACGCTGTTTCTATCAGAATCCTGCTGAATATTATCACACTAATCCCTAATTACCAATCGCTCTCGCTGCAGGGATTACCAGTCTCATCCATACCTCCACACAAACACAGAGGAATAACTTAGAAGGGATCACGTTCATACAAGCGCTAGTGCTTCGTAAGCCTCTGGGAAAGGTCAGAGAGGCACAGAGGTCAGAGGTCAGAGATGATCTGAAATATGCTCGCTGTAATCACTTCACAAGCTCACAAACTGATATTTAAGACTAGGAAGCATTTAAGTGTTTCAGTCTTTTCTTATCCAGGTATTCTTGTGAAAAAGTAGTGCCCTTAAAAAAACTTATAACAGCAATAAAATACTTTAAAATAATATACTTACATGTGAACTGAATGTAATGTTTTCAGACACTTAATTGCATGGTAATTGTAATGAAAGGAAAATGTCAAAATCATTTACATTTTTATTTAATGCAATTAGTTCAAATTAAGCATGCTTTTGTATTAACTTAAGACATCTTTATATGCGTCATTATTTGTTTCATGTATTTAAATACATTTGTAATTACACATTTGCAAAGAAGTTGCAATTTAGTGCATTTAAAATATATTACATTTAAATGTAATATCTAATAACACACTATAGTTAAAATTATAATTACTTTACATGTGCTTTAAAATGTTAGTTAACATCAAAATAAGTGTTTTTTAAGATTACTAAAAGATTTATACTTTAAAGTGAAATTTATAATTTAACATTATTGCAAAGTTTACTTTTTAAAGGTGCACTAAGCGATTTTTGCCAAACGATGTTGATATTTGAAAGCACCAAAACAAACACGCCCATACCTCAACAGGACCTCGGCCTTATTTTAAAATCTTCGCCCCACACGTACGTACGCAACCATGGCAACAACTATCGCGGAAAGAAGTGAAGATGACACACAAGCATATTCAAACAAAAGCCAACACAGAAAAGTTTTTGAAACGAAGCAAAATCAACGTTACTCACCTATCAAGAAGAAACAACACAACTTCGGCATCCGATTCGAGCCCTTCCCGCTCCTTGGGTTCAATCCACCGCTGGAAAGCTGCTCCGATATTTACGCGGGTCCTACCTCTTGCCTTATCGTAACTCTTCTTTTTAATGTTTTGTTTCTCTGATATTTTCCTCTTTTTTTATCTGCCGTCTCTCTCTATCTATAGTCGATCTGCTAATATCCATCCTGTGCTCTCAAATTGAGAGCTCTCTTCTCTCTCTATCATTACAAAACACGCCCCCTTACTGCTGGAACGCACATGAACGCCACCACAAAGTCGTTATTACGAGTGGGAAACTCAAAATTTTCTTTAAGCACAGAGTTTCCAAGTTGGGGGCGTGTCAATGAGAAACATGGCGGAATCGATGGATGCAACGTCTGTAGTTGACGGTAAATTTTTGTTTAAATTGATAGTTTAGTTGTCCTATAAACTTAAATTGGTCATGTTCTTGTTACGCAGCTAGTTAATGAAATCCAAGTAAAAAAATGCACACCCTGTTGTATTTTCTTGTAATTTATTAAAAGAAGGTACACCGCCATCTTGTGCCGACTAAACTGACTTGAACGCACCTGATGTCGTAATTACGACTTGTCAACTCATAAGTACGAACGTCCCAGGAGGACTTGAATGCAGCATCAGTCCGACACTGTGGTCAAAAGCCTTTTTCAAATATTGCTTAGTGCACCTTTAAGTATCTTAATTGTGTTTAAAAAACAGTCATGCAAGTGAAAGCTACTTAAGTTCACTTAAGTGGCTATTTATTTATTCATTAAATATTATATTATCTGTATGTCAGACTGGTGTTCCTGTCTTGTGTTGTGCTTTCCTCCCCCACGTGCTCCATGTTTATTTTATGCCCATGTTTGGTTTCCTTCCTGTTCCTGTCCTGATTATGTAATTTGTTTCCAGGTGTACCCCGTTTAGTTTTATTGATCCCAGGTGTGTCCCATTAGTTCCCTTATTACTTAAGCCCTGCTGTTTCCAGTCTAGCGTCCGGTATTATACATCGTAGTTGTGTTTCCTGTGTGTCTCTGCCTGCCTTGTGTTACCCCGTCTTGGAAGATTACCCCGTCTTGTTACGTTGAAGTTATCCCACGTCTCCTTGTTCTTCGTTTCGCCACAGAAGGCAACCGTGACACTGTGGTGCTGTCAGACGATTAATCGTGATTAATCGCATCCAAAATAAAAGTTTTTGCTTACATAATATATGTGTGCGTACTATGTATATTTATTATGTATATATAAATACACACACATGCATGTATATATTTAAGAAAAAATATGTTATGTTTATATATTAAATATATATATATATGTAAATTATATGAATATAAATAAATACATGTATTTTCAATACAAATATTTTCAAAATATATACATGCATGTGTGTGTATTTATATATACATAAAAATATACACAGCACACTCGCATATTATGTAAACAAAAACTTTTATTTTGGATGCGATTAGTCGTGATCAATCTTTTGACAGCACTAATTATCTGCAAATAGAGGTTTTTAGAAATGTTCTTTTAAGATCTGAAGTACAAGTGCACATTTAAAACAACTAAATGCACTTCATCACAAAGGTAGACAAGAAATATACTTGCATGAAAATAGTTGCAATGACGTGTTAATTAAATATAAATACAGTACATCTAAGATGTAAATCAGGCATTCTGTATAAACTAAACAGTCTTTAATATTTTCATACCATAGGGTTTATCTACAATACTCTTATATTAAACTCTTAAACACACACTTTAAAACCCTATTCTCTGCAGATATTGAGTATTGTGGTCATTTATCACCATGAGATTTTTTTCTGCTGAGTTGTTTGTAGTTTCCCTTATTGCAGTTTCTCGACTGTCTCCTCAGCACTAAATTAACCGGATTTCTACTTGGATATGCTCCCCGCCCCCCCATCTTAATTCTTCCTTCTCTTTCTCCCACAGAGGGGGCAGATAAATGGCATGCTGTGCTCTTTTAATGGGGAGGTTGGAATAAAGGTTTAGTGTTTTTGTCTGAGTGTTGCGTAAATGTTGTGTTCATTGCGACTATAGTGACTGTTGTAGATACGTTTAGATGTTATGTTGTGTTAAGTGCTCATGTTAAATGGATAGTTTGCCCAAAAAATAAAAATTCTCATGTTCCAAATGCTAATGAACTTCTTTCTTCAGTGGAACACAAATTAGGATTTTTTTTTCTTCTTTTTTGTCCCTATAATGACAAAGTCAGTGAGGTCCAATGTTGTTTTGGAGATCGCTGACTCTCATTGCATGGACAGTTAAAACATTCTTCAAATATCTTCTTTTGTGTTACATAGAAGAAAGAAAGACATTGGGGTTTGAAAAATGAGAATGAATAAATGATGACAGAATTTTCATTTTTAGGTGAACTATCCTTTTAAATAACCACATCTGTTACATTGGTGTGTTTATCAAATTTGTTTTGTTATGTACATTGATGAGCCTCCAACAGCTGTTCCCTGTTAGTCAGACAAATGTCTCTCATACTAACATACATTCAGTCTATGCATTTTTATGCTGAATTTGTTCACTCACATTGTGAAGAATCTCTTTAAGTATCGGTTCAAGATATCATTCTCACTTGAAGTATATTTCATGTGTTACAGTATTATTGTCTGTACATTCTTAACTTTTTTCTATTAAGTCTACTTAATCAGTGTTACTTGCTCCAAAAACAGTCACAACCAGTATTGTTACTGTAAACTAAAACAAAATCTATTAAAAATTGTGACCCTGCAGCACAAAACCAGTCTTAAGTCGCTGGGGTATATTTGTAGCAATTGCCAAAAATACATTGTATGGGTCAAAATTATTGATTTTTCTTTTTTGCCAAAAATCATTAGGATATTAAAGGTGGGGTAAGCTATTTTTCAAAAACGCTTTAGAAAACTGATTCGGGCCGAGTAGCAAAACAAATGATGTGGAGGAGGGAGAATTCAGTGCACAGGACGGACATTAGCGAGCCGAGCGACAGAAAGATAGAGATGACAGATAAAAAACAAAAGAGGAAAATGTCTGTGGAACAAAAGAAGGCAATAAGGCAACAAGTAGGACCCGTGTAAATATCGGATCAGCTTTCCAGCGCTGGAGTTTTCAAATAGTTGTATCTCGGCCAAATATTGTCCTATCTTAACAAGCTTTCAGATGATGTATAAATCTCAATTTCGAAAAATTGACCCTTATGACTGGTTTTGTGGTCCAGGGTCACAATTGTTTTTGATAGTTTTGATAGGGAAAATAATAAATATTAAATAAAAAAACAGCAAACTTAAAAAAAAATTGAAACAAATTAGAAATGTTGCATTTGTAACTGAAATAAGTTTACATTGAAGTCCTAAAATTGCTAAAACTTAAATAAAATAATCCAAAATGGAAACATAAAACATTTAAAATGACAAAAGCACATAACTAAATTACTAAAACTTCAACTTTTTTTAAATAAAAAAAAAAACTGTAATAGTATATAAATATTACTAAAATAACACTGGTCACAACCACAATTGATTCATTAGAATTCATTATTTTATAAATTGTTTTAGATTCTCTGTTTGACCTTCGTACTTAAAAGGTCCTTTTTGTTGCCTTATATGCGGCTTATATCTATTAAAATCAGCTTATCTTGCTGCTGAACACTAAACAGGTTTTGCTAATATGTAAATGTGCGCATTCATTTAACCACGTTTTTTCAGCTTAGTTTCAAAAATGTGATTTTTGGACTTGAGTTATGTAAAAATATGTTAAGTGATAATCTGTAAAGTGCTAATGTTCTCACCATGTATGTGTTTGTCCAGGTGAACAGTAGAGACCTGACTCAGCTCTCTCAGGAGCAGAGCCTGCATGCGCTGCGCTGCAGGAGGAACATGAGGTGGGGTCCGAGGAGGAAAGCAGGTGTGCCTGGAGCTGTTGGAGGGACGATGGTAATGACTGACTGTGTGGACAGCGGGACGCAGACAGATATTAGCTTCCAGCACATGGTGACATTAGGCAGACCCGTCCATCACAACAGACCAGCGTCACCTCCTTCCCCTCTACTGCCGCCCATGCCAGAGCCCTACCTCTTCAGCCAGCTGTAAGTGTGGGTTTAAGAACAGATGTCGGTTGTCACTGTTAGCGAACATCACTTTTAAAATCAATGCTATTTAGTATGTGTTTTGTACATGATGCATATAATACAAAAAATACCTAATTAGACTCCTGTTCAGCTGTCTGGAGTCGGTAAAAGTTTAACTTTTTTTTTTTTTTAAAGACGTCTCTTATGCTCATCAAGCATTTTTTTTAAATAAAAAAACAATAACAATATTGTGAAATATTATTGCAATTTAAAATAACTGTTTTCTATTTGAATATTCTATAAAATGTAATTTATTCCTGTGATGCAAAGCTGAATTTTCAGCATCATTACTCCAGTCTTCAGTGTCACATGATCCTTCAGAAATCAGTCTAATATGCTGATTTACTGCTCAAGAAAAAGAGAAAGAAAAGCTGAATTTTCAGCATTATTACTCCAGTCTTCAGTGTCACATGATCCTTCAGAAATCAGTCTAATATGCTGATTTACTGCTCAAGAAAAAGAGAAAGAAAAGGAAAAATAAATCGTACTGACTCCAAACCTTTAAATGTTGTTAGTGTACCTTTTACAGAAAATACTTTTATGTCAGATACTTTTTGTGAGGGCTGTTCTTATACTGGGGGAAATCTTGCACACATTTTTTTAGTCATGTGACCATACATTTATTTTAAATAATTAACATTTTGCAGATTCTGAAAGGGGGTGTAAACTTTTGACCTCAACTGTATATATATTTATTAATTAGAGTCTTATTTTGCCTAAATATCATATTTTTAATTTAGTATTGCCCTTCAGAGCAGTAGCCCCTAACTGCAGAACACAAGATTCAGGGGGCGTGGCTGGATCCACATCTAGGGGGTGGAGATTGGTAGGTTTAGGGATCAGGGTGTGGAGACAGGTAGGTTTAGGTATATGTAAGGTGGGAGCAGTTGGATCTGGATCCAACCACACCCCCTGGATCTTGTGTTCTGCAGTGAGGACCATCTCCTTCAGAGGCTACAGGAGATTACATGTTTGCCAGAAGACAAAATAAGTTAAATTTACCCTGATCTTCAAATTCAAAAAGTTTCACCCCCAGCTCTTAATGCATGGCTTTTCCTTCTGGAGCATCGGTGAGCGTTTGAACCTTCTGCAATAGTTCCATATGAGTCTCTCAGTTGTCCTCTGTGTGAAAAGATGGATCTCAAAATCATACAGTCAATGTTGGAAAGGGTTCAAATACACAAAAATGCTGCAAAACCAAAGAATTTGTGGGAGCTGAAGGATTTTTCTGAAGAACAGCAGGCAGTTTAACTGTTCAGGACAAACAAGGGACTCATGAACAACTATCACTAAACAAACAAAAAAACACAGCTGTATTCAGGTAACAACACAGTATTAAGAATCAAGGGGGTGTAAACTTTTGAACGGGGTCAGTTTTATAAATTCAACTATTATTATTTTCTCTTGTGGAATATATGCAAACATCTTTTATGTGAAATATCTCACTCAGGTCAGTGCTAAATAAACAATAGCATGCATTTTGTATGATCCCTCTTATTTTGGTAAAATAAAAAAAAATAAAAACATTTGGCAGATTCTGAAAGGGGGATGTAAACGTTTGACCTCAATGAATCACAAATGTATAAAACCTTGTAGATTATTTGTATAAGGATTATATGGAAGTACTTACATTTTTTAATAGGAGTAAAAAATTGTCTTACTCCACTCTCCTTTACAGCAAAAACACTCAAATGTATTTACACAAAAATCACAATGTTACATTTTTGAGGAAAAAAAGATGTTCGTTGATTGTCATTGTGGTGTTAAAGTTTAAATGCATTGCAAAAATAGAAAAACAAAAACAAAATGTCATTATGGTGAAAATTCTACAATAAACAATTGTATGCATTACCTCAAATAGCATGTTACACTTACAAACACTAACACTGATTTTCTGTGACTTTTCATTTCTGTATGTCACTGTAGTGGTTAATTATATATTTTGATCTTTGACATTGTGTTTCTCCTCAGCCCTGCTATTGACCATGTGTACTACGACCCAATGGACTACTTTGACATTAGTCAACATGAGGTGGACAGACAAGATGACTTGGAGTATGAGGTCAGCACTGTCTCTTCAAACGTCCTCTACTTTAAGTTTGTTTTAGACTGAAATACTGCTGGAGAAGCATCTTATCTCTGTTTGTTTAATTCTCTCACTATCTGTTTTTCTTCAGGAGGTGGAACTGTATAAATCTTGTCAGCAAGATAAACTGGGTTTAACGGTGTGTTATCGCACTGATGATGAAGAGGATCTGGGTATCTACGTGGGTGAGGTGAGAAATGGGGAATAATGGGAATCTGCTGACTGATGAATTATGAATGAAGGCTGAGGGAGGACTGTAAACCTACGCCCTTGTGTTTCAGCGTTAGATAAATCATTCATTTAAATAAAATGTCATATTAAATCCAAAACACTATTTTATCTCTCAAGAGTCAGTGTAAACACAAGATAATTCTACTAGAGCATGACAATTACCACAGCATGTTATTTAATACATGGGCTAACAACTGTATATTATCAATTTCGGATGTAACGTAAAAGTTAAAGTGTTTTTTTTTTTTTTTTTTTTTTTTTTTGCCAGGATCAGAAAATTACATTAGCCAGATGCAAACTTGCATCTGTCAGCAGACAGAAGAGTACAACACAGGTAACTTCCACACACAGGTTATTTACAGATGCAGATTAGCAACAAGCGAGGATATTAGGTTGTGCTGGATGGGTAATAATGTAAATTTAGGTGATGAATTAACAGTCTTTGTCTTTGCAGGGATTAGATGGATACCACGATGAGGATTGCTATTGAAGAAGATTGAAGAAAACAGAAGAAGGATTGGCAAAAGGGGG